GGACGAGGGTGAAGGAATGGTGCCCAACCACTTGGACGGTCGGGGATTGAACGCCGATCTGCATGAGACAAAACCGTCGCCTTTTCACGTCTAGTTATTTTAATTGCTTCCTTTCTCACTCTTCTACTACATCTGTTTCTAGTTACACAGTCTTCATTGGACTTTGTGGTTGCTTCAGTTATTTTGAAAACGTTTTGAAATCTTTCGCAGAGTAGATCACACACTTCCTTATCACTTTCGGTATGTCCCCCAGCTCTTTTGATCTTCCTATACACTTAATCATCCAATGATGACTTTCTTCTGATATGAGAGTGCAACAGTTTTGGGTGTTCTCTATGCCATTAACAATGCCATTTCCAGTTGCGATGCCGGCAAACGCGAAGATACTCATTTCTCGACCATTTAAATAGCACTCATGTTTCTCAAGTAACCCAATATCCCTGAACCTTTTTTCGAGTCCTAGATTTCCAGAATTTCTTTTAATGATTTTCCTTTCAATCCCTCTTTCCGAATTTGTCCTAGAAATTCTAAAATGTCATAATCCCCTGTCCAGTATGCTAATTTAGTTGTCTTCTTTCTCATAATAGCTTTCATAATTAGGCCTAGGGAGGCTTATTCAAAGATGAGGAGACGGTGAGTACACCTAACTGTACTTTCACAGCTTGCACTGGTTGATCACACGCTCTTGGATCCTACCTCTAATCTAAACTTTTAATCGACTGATGTAAAGATTATAGAGCCCTTTGAACTCACCTATCTACCAGTAGGCGAGTTTATGTATATGATTAGTGTATTTGTATGTTTGCATGCTCTAATATTTGTATATTTTGTTTGAGTATGTTTGTATGTTTGAGTATGTGCGTGTGTGTCAACTTACCTATCAGTCACTACGGAGATTTGAGGTCTAGCACTTTATGCCTCAACTAACAGCCTTGTTGTACCTGTAGCGTTATAGTTGACCTATTCTGACCTTCAAATTCTCTGTCGAAACTGCCCTTAAAATTGAGTGCGCGCGCGTGCGTGTTCTTGCTATAACCTCCCTGTACACACACACTCTTGAACCCTATTCATTATTAACTGAATAATGTGCATAACACTTAGTACATGTGCTTTTGAATGAATCAGTCTGTTCATTGTTTCTACCTTGCAAGGTAAGGTAAATTATGTCTGTGAGCCTGTCTGCTTCTCTCCCTCTAGGCCCCCTTCTCTTTTTTTTGTTAAAAAGGGTTTTTAAAACGGGTCATTAGAGCTGCGAAGTGAAGTACCTAGTGAAACTGCAAGCAAGAGCTGTTATCCTACGTCAGCTCAACTATAATCCCTAGAGGTTTATTTTATTTCGTGATTATCATGATTTTAAACTAAGTAACTATCGTATAAGGAACAGGTAACTTGTGAAACGACTCTCTCCCCCTCAACCAGCCATCGATCCATTCATTAAATCCACCCACCAATCCAACCCCCCCTTTCACTCTCTCCCACACATTATCTCTTCTCACGAATCCATCATTCTCTCTCTCTCTCTCTCTCTCTCGCTCGTACACATTTTATCTCACATTTCCCTCTCCCTCCCTCCCTCCCTTCCCCCGTTCCATTAAACAAAAAAACGCACTTCACGGCTACACAAGATTCACCAGAGTATCTCTGATACTCTGAGTATCTCTGATACTCTGAGTATCTCTGTATATGTACAGAGTATCTCTCTCTACAACATAGCGACTAGTCTAACATTACAACTCAGAAACAACCCCGAGACTCCTACAACCATTAATGTAGGCATGCCATCAGCACCTCTATAATCGTGAAGAAGCGGCACCCAGTCCCTTTTAAACTTTTTTTTTCCAGAAATCGCAAAACTCATCGCAAGCATGAAAGGGGGAACCTGTGTGAGGGGGAACCAGCCGAGAGCAACTAACTTTGGCTCGGGGTGAAGAATTCAATGTTCACTGCCAACATACAGGGAAGAACCAGTAGAACACCAACCTTGAATTGATGTTCTTCGCGGAGGTAATAATACAATGAACCATAAGTAGCATTCATTTAAGCTTTGTATAAAATCGTTTTTGCATTCATTTTGCGCTGTATAGAATCGCTAACTGATTTTTTTTTTAACTAAAAGCTAAATAGAAACAAAGTTTATATATATATATATATATATATATATATATATATATATATATATATATATATATATATATATATATATTTTCGGTGTAAATATATATTATTTATAGAAGCATAACCTGGAAATACTTACAACTTATAATTTGATAATGTAATCAAGGGATTATGAAACAAAGTCCTGCTATTTAAATACAACATTTACATTAACTTATAGATGTGTGTGTGATATATATATATATATATATATATATATATATATATATATATATAATCAGGTCAATATATATATATATATATATATATATATATATATATATATATATATATATATATATATATATATATATATATATATAATCACATATACACGGATACTTGCATAAACTCACAAGTCATAGGTAAACACACAAAGGGCTCCACCCCTGCGAGACTCGAACCCAGGTGATCGCACACCAAGACAACCAGTACTCTGACCACTGGTTATCTTGGTGTACGAACACCTGGCCTTCTAGGTTCGAGTCTCTCGCAGGTGTGGAGCCCTTTGTGTGTTTACCGATGACTTGTGAGTTTATGCAAGTATCCGTGTAAATATGAGGCTCGCGTTCTTCCTAGTAAATGTGATTAATGAAAAACGAATCCTGATCTCTTACCATTGCTGGTGTCCTTGGGAGGTCAAGATGTTTGGTATAAACTCCCGTTGTTGTTGTTTAAGATTCAGCTACTGGGAACACATTTCCAAGTAGTACGGGCTATGGTGAGCCCGTAGTGGACTTAACTGGCACAGGAGCGGCGCTGTAACTGTTCTGTCACTGCTGTTTGCTTGGGGCATGCAATGCTGCTTGCTTGGGGCATGCAATGCTGCTTGCTTGGGGCATGCACTGCTGCTTGCTTGGGGCACGCATTGCTTCTTGCTTAGGGCACGCGCTGCTTCTTGCCTGGGAGATGTGCTGCACCATCTTCGGGAGATGTGCTACATTTTCTCTGGGAGATGTACTGCAGCGTCTTTTACTTATGTACCGAAACACTTCCCCTGGGAGATCATTCTGTGCTTTCCCAGCTGTAAATAAATTGAAGATAGGCCAGAAAACACTTCACCTATTCCAATGTTGACCAGAGACCAGCTCAAACTAAATGAACGCGACCAGCTTACGACCTAATAGTTGGTCGCTGGCTCTTCACCCTTCTTGAGGCGAGAGACCGAAATCCCAGATTTCCGTAGCTTCATTTCTACAGGTCCTCGACGTCTCAGCTTTCTGCAGCAAGTGTGTATACTTTACATCAATCTGATTTGCCTCTCACTTAATTAAGTCCCCCTCATCGTCCTCACTCAACTGGATCACAATGACTCACTATGACTCGGGACTAAAGAGCCAAAGCTCAACCCCCGCAAGCACAACTAGGTGAGTACTACAGGGTCCTCGAGCGTCTACCAGCTTAAATCGTGTGTTCAGCCAGGTATTGTCGTATTTCAATTTAATAATGTGATCAATTTAAACAAAATTTGCCGAGCTTGGCTACTAGTCTTCGCTGATAGCATTAACAAATGGTTAAGCTTCCTATGTGTTTACACCCACTGAATCCATACAAATGCGCTAGAGATTAAACTCGGAAACAATATATGTGACATAGGCTAGGCTATGGTTAATATCCACTTCTAAAATTGGTGTTTTATGTTCCTTTGTGTTGTATGATACCACAAGCAGACTCGATGTGGCTGTGGCTAGCCCCACAGTCAGGCCCACACAATATGGCACCTCAGCTAGGCCCCACACACTATGGCACCTCAGCCAGGCCCACACACTATGGCACCTCAGCCAGGCCCACACACTATGGCACCAAAAGCCGACCTTCTAAACCAGTGGCTCTTAACCTTTTCACAATTACAAACCCTCCATTGGAGTAACCAGTATGTCCACATACCCCCATCTCCTTCGCCATTGTCGAAATCACCACCACCGTCAATCCAGTATGACTTCAAAAGATGTAAATCCGGTTTACTTTACATAAGGATACCTAGGAACAAAACATTGAAAGAAAATATCATGGATTTCATCATTTACATCAGACGGTAAATCGCAAATACACAAGCGAGCTACAACTTTCAATTTATTTATTTATTATGCACCCCATACCCATCCCGTGGGCGGTGGTGTAAAGGATTACAGAGGCACATAATCGGTTCAGGAACTGAACCCTCTAGTTCGTTTAGCTCAGCAAATAACAATTTTTGACGCTAGTTACAAAATTATTAAATGTTACAACTAGCGAGATTTTTTGCTGTTTTTGTGCAAGCAAAACATAAACCGCCTCAAGTTGCATAGATAACAGGCAAAGTTAATTATAAACTAACAGCTTTCTTAACTGTTCAGAGATCGAGCCCTATACAATTATTATTTGATTCCCATATCCCCCTTGTTAAGAACCCTTACTCAACACTGTGGCACTGGCCCTCTACCCCATGGCACCACAAGCTGCCACTATGGCACCAAAGGTCGACAGAATGGCACCACAGGCTGGGCCTGTAGTCTACACCAGGCCCTACAGGCCTCTCCATAGCGGCCAGGTCAACTGTATGAGATAGACAGAGATCCTTGTCAAGTACGAGGGAATATCCACACTCATTTGCCTCACAGGCACTTCTGCCAAATTTTGCTTCGCCTGTCAAATTCCCAATAGTACTGTCAAATCATACACAGGTGTTTCTGCCCGTCTGTATGTACGGTAACCTGTATCTAAATTGACAGAAAATTCTGGAGCCGGTCTGACAGTCGCTATGTCAATCCAACCCGTCAAAATCGACCTTCAATCACCGCTTACATCGAAACACGAAACACTAACCACTTTATTTGTTAAATGTGTCACAAAAATGACCATCTTACCTTTTTCTGTGAGTTGATATCTGTTGTCTGGAGCCGAGGTAGGGAACACCCCACACACGAGTCCAACACAACACAACACTATTACAAGTGTACGGCCCCGTGGGCGTCTTAACGTGTAAAGCTTCATTGTGGCTAACTTAGGTCCCGACACTATATTCTCATTGTTAAATCTGACTAGATAGGAAAGCAGATTTGGCAACAAATCTTGCAAGAGTATCCACGAGAGACAGCGAGCGTCCTCACCCTCTACTGAGTCACAAACAACTGACAGCTGCTACGCTTATGCCGCATTTGGCAAAAGGATTGCACTTGAAATCTTAAGCCGATATCTTATGATTTAGGTTCAGTGTTACATTTGTTATTCCTTGTGATATCTTCAAACTGTTCTTTCTGTGAGAATATACAGAAACTAATAATATTTAGTGTTTTTTAATTTTTTCAACTCAAGCTCTGTGGCAACTATATCCTGATTTCGAAAGGCTTCGTTTGACTTCTTGTTTGTTCTTTAACAAATTTATCTATCAGATATTTATTACTCAGTTAAGTTAATCCCTAAAAATGTACCTTAATATACAGTGTTTTAGGTAATATTTAAAATTTCCTTTACCGTTAATGATTAACAACAACAAAGGAATCGCTAAATATCGAACTCGGACGAGTGTTTACGACGCGCCAGCTGATCAGATGATACGCTCCCATCAACCCAATGCCAGCGCTTATTCCAATACCAGCGCTTATTCCAGCGACACCTACTCAGTCCTGGCGCCCATAATCAGGAGCATTTCTTCCACAGAGATGATATTATAGTAAAAACAATGATAATGGTAATGATGATGATAATATTTTGTATTCATAAGAAGAATATTTATTAATTCATTATGCCGGGGGACAGGCAGCAAGTGTGTATATATACATGTTAGGCTTATATCGTGATTCCTTACGAGGTCGAATTACAGACCCCCCAGGATGCAACCCCCAACATAATAATAATAATAATAATAATAATAATAATAATAATAATAATAATAATAATAATAATTTATTTGCAAGAAGGTACAATAGGTTGGTGAGATTACATTAGATTGGTATTTTTACATTCATCCAAAGCCACTAACACGCATAGCGTTTCGGCAGACTGACTAACAAGCTGACTTACTCCTGGGTACCTATTTCCTGCCAAGTGGACAGAGGCATGAGGCGATAGGAAATGCGCCCATTTCTGCAACCCGTCCTCGACTCAAGTCCATTACATCCAGCGGTCGACCCCACAGACGCATTCATAAATTTTAACATGTAGTTAATTCAAAACAGGATTTTTTTCAAATATATATTATTATTATTATAATATATTAGTATATTATGCATCTATAGGCATAGGTTAGGTGTTTAGGTTCTGTTGGCGATTATTTATATTTGTAGTACGTGGGTGAAGCAAATACAGCGTTGTGGTTCGAACAAAAGTAGTCAGTGAAGCTCTTGTTCCGGAAGTGTTCGAACATCTTCAGTTGTGAGTCGTGTGTAAACCGTTTTTCATTCATAAATAGGGGGTTTGGCGGGTGCATGGAATGGACTTTGAGGTCTTTGTTTGGAGGACGGGCTGGTATTTGTAATATGTGGGTGAAGCATTTACAGTGTTGTGGTTTGAACAAAATTCGTCAGTGAAGCACTTATTCCGGAACTGTTCGAACGTCATCAGTTGTGAGTCGTGTGTAACAGCACGTCCTCCAACCAAAGACCCAAAAGTGATTCCATCCACCCGCCAAACTCCCTGCTTATGAATGAAAAACGGTTTACACACGACTAATAACTGATGACGTTCGAACACTTCCGGAACAAGTACTTCACTGACGAATTTTGTTCGAACCACAACGCTATAAATGCTTCACCAACGTACTACAAATACAAATAATCACCAACAGAACCTAAAAACACCTAACCTAATCTAACTTATGACTATATATGCACAATATGCTAATATATTCTAATATTCTTTAATTTTTTAGAAAATTCCCGTTTTGAGTGAACAGCATGTAAAAATTTATGAATGCGTCTGTGGGATCGACCGCTGGATGTAATGGACTTGAGTCGAGGACGGGTTGGTTATTATCGCCCTTATAAAAAATTTAATGATATAGCCTACATGTATTCAACGTAATATAACAAAAATACATATTTTGTGCAAATATACATATTTTTAGTATATGTATTCTATCCGCAATTAAAAGCCATTGTTCAATTTAGATTCATCTGTTGCCTGAATTTCCATTGTGAGCCCGTGATACGTGAGAGTAAGGATATTAATCTATAGATTGCTACTGATGTCTTGCTGTTCATTTTACGGAAATACAACGTTGTCCTTCAAGATTAGTGACTAGATTTACTGATCACTGGATCCTTTTCATGTTTCTTTCGTAATAAGTTGACCAGCGGGAACTGGTCAGAGAAGGAAGAGAGGAGAGAGAGAGAGAGAGAGAGAGAGAGAGGTGGTTGTTGTTGTTATAGATTCAGCTACTCAAAACAAGTTCCAAGTAGCACGGGATATGGTGAGCCCGTACTGGACTTACCTGGCACAGGAGCGGGGAGAGAGAGAGAGAGGGTTGGAGCAAGAGTTCGGCCTTCACAGCGCTGGTGGACACTGACACCATAATGGTTGTTAAGTAGTATTGAGTAATCAGATGCTAGCCCTTGCAACTCCTTTATTATGCTCCACGGAGCTTTACCAGGCAATTCGCTGACCGACTTGTTAATTTATTTCTTACCTCATGCCACGTATCAATAGATAATTTTTGCGTATTTTATACGATTTCTCAAACTGTCATAGAGAATATTATTTCGGTGAGTTGGTCGTCTGTTATATCGATTCCATTCCTCTTGTTTTTCATTTCCTGCAGTTTTACAGTGATACGAAAAATTAAGGATTATCACTTGGTTTACGAATGTATTATTTTAGGAATATGTGCATTTTGGTGTAGCTATTGGAGTAGCTAGCTTCTTAGCCTCCTTATTACCATATGTTACACTAACATCATTTTTATTCTGAAATAAGATGCACATCAATCCCTGTCAATCTTCCCGGTCGGAGAGACAGGTAGCAAGGGGCTCACTATCTGCCCATATCGAGGTTAATGGTCTCAGGAGCCATCATAGCCCACATACACACATGTAACTATACGTTTTCTATCAAGTCTATGACCACTATAACCCAATATATGTACCTAAGCCATACAACTTCACAATTGTAATCATTGTGGTCGATCTCGAACCCATTGTTGATGTGACGACTTATACTGAATTTTGTAACTAGCTCATCAAGATTGTAACTTGCTTAGCTAAATAAATTGTGGGGTTCAGTCCCTGAGCCCATTATGTACCTCTGTAACCCATTCCACTACCGCCCACAAGATGGGTATGGGGTGCATAATAAGTAAACTAAACTAACTAAAACTGTGTTTAAAGAAGAACAACTACAAAAAGCCTTCAAAAATATATATGTATACATAATATTTTCTTTTATAATCCTAGCGAAATTCCAGATAAAATGAGCCATAAGCTAACATCAATCTGTCTGGTGGTTGTTTTCCACAAAAAACAGGCCACCAGACTCAATATATATTAAGGGAAACTCATAATTCGCAGAAAGCAGAATTATTATTAACGTATCAATAAGAGCACCAATATTTATGGCTGCGGTGAATGGCATACTAAAATAACTGACATACGTAAATGTTTATAACGAGAGAAAACTAGACCAAACAGACTCCAAAAATATATATGAAGTCAATCTACTGAGTGAGTTGGCCTCTGAACAAATACACACACACATATATATATGTGTGTGTATATCACGAAAATAAACACGTGATTAAAAATGTGACAGTGTCAGACCACGGAGGAAAATTGAAACAGGAATTTCCTTAAGTACTTTCGTATATTAATACAGCTTCAGAAGGAGTGAAGCTGTATACTCCTTCTGAAGCTGTATTAATATACGAAAGTACTTAAGGAAATTCCTGTTTCAATTTTCCTCCGTGGTCTGACACTCATATATATATATATATATATATATATATATATATATATATATATATATATATATATATATATATATATATATATATATATATATATATATATATATGACAATGTCAGACCACGGAGGAAAAATGAAACAGGAATTTCCTTAAGTACTTTCGTATATTAATACATCTTCAGAAGGAGTGACTCCTTCTGAAGATGTATTAATATATGAAAGTACTTAAGGAAATTCCTGTTTCATTTTTCCTCCGTGGTCTGACATTGTCACATTTTTAATCACGTGTTTATTTTCGTGATATACACACACACACACACACACACACATATATATATATATATATATATATATATATATATATATATATATATATGTCGTACCTAGTAGCCAGAACTCACTTTTTGGCCTACTATTCAAGGCCCGATTTGCCTAATAAGCCAAGTTTTCCTGAATTAATATATTTTTTCTAATTTTTTTCTTATGAAATGATAAAGCTACCCATTTCATTATGTATGAGGTCAATTTTTTTTATTGGAGTTAAAATTAACGTAGATATATGACCGAACCTAACCAACCCTACCTAACCTAACCTAACCTATCTTTATAGGTTAGGTTTGGTTAGGTAGCCGAAAAAGTTAGGTTAGGTAGGTTAGGTAGTCGAAAAACAATTAATTCATGAAAACTTGGCTTACTAGGCAAATTTGGCCTTGCATAGTAGGCTGAGAAGTGAGTTCTGGCTACTAGGTACGACATATATATATATATATATATATATATATATATATATATATATGTCGTACCTAGTAGCCAGAACGCACTTCTCAGCCTACTATGCAAGGCCCGATTTGCCTAATAAGCCAAGTTTTCCTGAATTAATATATTTTCTCTAATTTTTTTCTTATGAAATGATAAAGCTACCTATTTGATTATGTATGAGGTCAATTTCTTTTTATTGAAGTTAAAATTAACGTAGATATATGACCGAACCTAACCAACCCTACCTAACCTAACCTAACCTATCTTTATAGGTTAGGTTAGGTTAGGTAGCCGAAAAAGTTAAGTTAGGTTAGGTTAGGTAGTCGAAAAACAATTAATTCATGAAAACTTGGCTTATTAGGCAAATCGGGCCTTGCATAGTAGGCTGAGAAGTGCGTTCTGGCTACTAGGTACGACATATATATATATATATATATATATATATATGTCGTACCTAGTAGCCAGAACTCACTTCTCAGCCTACTATGCAAGGCCCTATTTGCCTAATAAGCCAAGTTTTCATGAATTAATGTTTTTTCGTCTACCTAACCTACCTAACCTAACCTAACCTAGCTTTTTTTGGCTACCTAACCTAACCTTACCTATATATATAGGTTAGGTTAGGTTAGGTAGGGTTGGTTAGGTTCGGTCATATATCTACGTTAATTTTAACTCCAATAAAAAAAATTGACCTCATACATAGTGAAAAGGGTAGCTTTATCATTTCATAAGAAAAAAATTATAGTAAATATATTAATTCATGAAAACTTGGCTTATTAGGCAAATCGGGCCTTGAATAGTAGGCTGAGAAGTGAGTTCTGGCTACTAGGTACGACATATATATATATATATATATATATATATATATATATATATATATATATAGCACTTCAAGGGGTCAGGATAATGATTTAGGATGGGACGGGGGAGGGGCAGGAATGGTGCCCAACCAATTGGACGGTCAGGAATTGAACGCCGATCTGCATGAAGAGAGACCATCGATCTACCGTCCAGTCAAGAGCGTAGAGGGAATTAAACTATCCTATACACACAGAAATCACAATTAATAGCGCAATATATCAAATGAACAAATAACAAAAAACAAATGAACAAAATATACTAAACTATATTTAAATAGTTAAATAAATGGGAATACAGGTCATCCATAGAAAACGGAACATCTGGATCTATGGTATACTCCCAGAAACTAACATCACTATGACCCATCAGTAATCAGTGCTGCGAATACTACAACACCAAATACCAACGACCGAAACTATGGAATCTTGATGAAAATCCTAACAAACTCCACCAGTATTCAAGGCTGTGGAACATAATCTACATATACCAACCCAGTACAAGGTACGAGGTTGGGAAACATCTCAATATTAACCCCAATCCCTATCAAAGGTTTTGTATAAACTATTGTGCAATATTGAAACTTCAATACGGGGCTAGTTTGTACATACCAGAACTAACATTAAGAAGGTTGTTTCCCTAAGGGGAGACTACAGGAGTAACACCCTAGGTAATTATTATTATATAATAAACAAAGAAGCAGCCAAGCAACTTAAGTCATGATAATGATATGATAATGATAATTTTATTTAGGTAAAAGAACATACATACAAAATGAGTTACAAGCAGAATGTTGGATTTCTAGATGCGTGGAATCCATGGAGAACATCACAATCTGGAGAGCCGATAAAACCACAGCCTTCGTCCTCATCCCTACTAATGAATGTCCCCAAACTAAAAAAAAATAAATCCTCCAAGATGAGACCAAATTCAAGAGGATTACCAGAAACTCTACTGAAGATATCATGAAGAAAGTCGACCGTATAACTGACGCAGGTAATGCTAAAGAAGGCTGAATGCACCTGCAAAAAAGTCCAAGGTGGCTACAAACTGAGATACATTTACGGTAATGTCAACACCCACAAGCCTTAGTAATCCTCTACGATCCATCGTCAGTCAAGTCCCTACACCCACGTATAATCTAGCTAAACGACTCAACACTATATTGACTCCATATGTACTAAATACGTGCAGCTTGAACCAGTCGCAGATTTCTTAGACATAGTGAAGACCACTCAGCCAGAAGGGATCTAGTTCAAGTACATTTATCGAGACTAGAAAATACATCTCAAAGGGATAGAGTAGCTTACGCTATTTCTACAAGAAAGGATCATAGCATCTCTAGACGTGGAATCACTATTTGCGAACGTCCCAGTAGACATCACCATTAACTTAATGTTAGACAGAATCTACCATGACATTAGTAATCCAAAACTAGACATAACCAGAGTCTGCCCTCCGTAATCTTCTGGAGACTTGCACCAAGATGACCCCATTCACAACCCCTTGGGGGAGACATACGCAGATAGACAGAGTAGTAAAGGAGTCCTAACTAGGAGTACCATTTGCTAACTTCTATATGGGAATGTAACTTGATTCTGTAGCGAGTACAAGCAATATACTCACTACAGGAACACTAGAAGACACCATCTTCAAAACCATAACGAAACCTCGCATTACTGCAGAGACACCAACGATATATTCGATGAATTATTTACATTTTACCCGATTTACCTGAGAGCCACTAACCCTAGTGTCCTCGACGAGGACTGGTAGCCGGCGGTTTGTCAAAGAGCCCCCATTTGCCTTGATGATCTTTTCCAGCATTTTGAAACTGCACAGTTTTGGCAGTGACGCTTCGGCGGGTAGGCGGTTCCATGGGTTAATAACCCTGTGGGTGAAAAAGCATCTCCTGTTCTCAGTCCTACATTGTTGCTTGTTGAGCTTGAAACCGTTGCTCCTTGTCTCATATTTTAAATTATCATAGTTTATTCATAAACTATGAATAATTTAAACTTCATAATTTGGATACACTGTACAGGAGAAGAAACAGCAAGCCATAAGCTAGCTCGGAGGACTGGACGTTCAAGAGGGGCGGAGCTAGCAATTACCTTCCTGTGATTGGCTGTTGAAGGGAATGCCAGCATTCTTTCTACAATGAAATACGAACAAAGAAGTACGTTCTTTTGCACAACAAGGAAAAGAACAACAGTTTCTGTTTTGTACCTGAAAGCAATTTACATCTAACTGAATAATTTAGTCCAATAAGAGGGCGGAACATCGTAGCATCGATGTTATTTGTGATCAGGCAACCACCACTGATGACGTCTCAAGTTAGGTTTCCAGGCTATTTTTTTAAACACCTGTTATATCTTGCAATATTTAATTATCACTTTTAAATAACTAATACTTATTTTTTTAAGTCGATTATAGTTGAAGCAGAATTTCATAAGCAAGGCTGGTGTGCGGAAAAAAGATGTATTTATTACGTGGATGGAGCCTTTAACTGGTCCCTTTCCTGTGATTGGTTGTGGTGAATGTCAACAAATAATATCTACCAATGATATGCAAGGTCGAGAATTCTTACTTCAGCACAACACTCCGGCTTATGGGCTGCTGTTCGGCTATTGATAGTGCGATTTCAAGATAACAGATGGCGCCAGCAGTATTTTGCAGGGGGCCTGTTGAATAGTGTAATTTGATGGCAATAGATGGCATAAGCTGTATCTTATGGTCAGGCTTGTTTGATAGTGTTCTTTAATGCCGACAGATGGCATTAGCTGTATTATTATTACTTCCGTATTCCCTCTATAAATTACGTAGCTTATGATAAGGTTTTATATGGTATTAGGTGACTTCTGCAATTACTTTTTTTTAACTTAAATTTTTTTAGATTTTAATTTTCTTTAAATTTAAACATGGCAAATATCAGCAGTTTTACCAGTCTTTTTTATCATTAATCATTACAGGTTAATCATTAATCGCTTTAATGTTTGAAAACAGCAAGACATAGGTTGACATTTAGGAGGAAAGGTAGGTTACATGGAGTTGATTAGGTAGTACTTAGTTGTCTCTTAAACTGGTTGAGAGAGGGAAAGTCTTTGATGTGACTGAGAAGGTCATTCAGCATTTTGGAACCCTTGATTTGCAGAGCATTTCTAGGTTGGTTAAGTCGCGCACTCCTGGAATTTAAAATAGATATTTGTTTCTAGTGTGGTGCCCATGGGCTCTGTTACAACTCTGTGAAGCGTTTAAGATCAGGATTAGCATTACAGTTTAGAGTTCTTATCTACTGTTTGTGAGAGTATATAATATTGGTATTTTTACATTCTTGCAAAGCCACTAACACGCACAGCGTTTCTTGCAAGTAAAATATAAATAAAATAAAATGTTTATTCAGGTAAGGTACATACATACAAGAGATTTTACATAGTCTTTAATCTAACAGATCAGGGAAAAGGAATGGATATAGTGTAGCAAAATTCGTTATTAGTATATAACTACAATATAATTTGATTACATTGGTGATTAATGATTAATGATTTCGCATTAGTGTTTTGTCTTGTCTTGAAAGACGAGGAGAGCAGCGAACACAAGCCAGCGCACATTTATATACGAAATAATTCGTGTATACAAAATTACCAATGAACTAACATGTACTAAAACGACGTTAGCAAACGCAGTGATGTACAAATCGACCAGTTGCCTCCTTCATAACCCAAGACATATTGAACTTTAACATCACAGTATGGATCCCATTGGACCAGGCAAGTGCCTATATATATATATCAAACTGATATATTGATTAAGGATATATTATCTGTTATATAGCCATAGAGGCTTTACTATCAATATAATGGTCTATATACGAGAACGACCAGAGTATTTCATGGGTTTAATTGGTGATCTTTGGGAATGGTGAACGTTATTGTACTGTTTGGGTGTACTATCTACAGGAGCCTCCACATTGTGAGGTGTAGTTTAGGAGTTAAACCCGTAAGAGTAGACTTGTTGCTGATATACTCTCGACCTCCACCCGGGGAGGTCAAGAGTATATGTTGCTTATTTTCTCCTCATTGGTGTTAGATTTTTGAGAGAGGGGAATTCTGATTTTTGCAATTAGGCTGCAGCTTTATCTGGCTACTAAATTTGATTTATTTATATACACGAGACTTGTTATATTCTTGTACAGCCACTAGTACGCGTGGCATTTCACGCAGGCCCTTAATCCTAATTTTTTCACCGGAATACGACCCGTCTAATCATTTAACAACCAGGTACCCATTCACTGCTGGGTGAACAGGACCCCATATAATAATAATAGTAATAATAATATTTTATTTAGGAAAAGTACACATAGATGCAGAGTTACAAACATATGTTGGATTTATAGATAGAGCTAGTACATACAATATCTAAAGCCACTAATATGCATAGCACTTCAGGCAAGGTGTGGAGGAATAACACTTAGACTAAAACTTAATTTATACTTTACTCCCAATTACTATTGAGTTGAAAAAAATGGAATAAGAAAAAAAGAAAAAAAAGGGGAAGATGGCAAAAATCAGCAATTGTGCAAGTTGGTCAACAAACAGCATTGTTTAGAATAGCAAGATAGGCTGATATGCCAACAATGGTTATGCTGCCAATATATAACAATTCCTGCCTGGGAATGTTAACAAATAAATATCTTAAAGCAGTTAATAATGTTGTTTCCATATTAGTTGTTTGAGCTACGCCAACAGTCCCCGTGGTGTAATGGTAAGACAATCTCCTTGCGTTTCGTGAGCGCTTTGTCCTGGGTTTGTATCCTTGCCAGGGAGGTTTTACTGGGCACCAATCCTTAACTGTAGCTTTTGTTCACCCAACAGTAAAATGGGTACCTGGTTGTTAAACGATTTGGCAGGTCGTATTCCGGGCAATATTAGGATTAAGGACTTTCCCGAAACGCTATGCATGCTAGTGGCTGTACAAGAACAACTCTTGTATATATATACTGTACATAAATAAATAAATAAATATTCGTTCTTCAGGAAATCATGAACGAGCTTGGAATGATCCACCAAAGTTTGCTTATAATGCCAGTGCTGGAGGTGCGCCAGGAAGCTCAGGTGGCAGACGTCGTTTATTGAATAAGAGAGTTGCTGTACCTATTGGCCCGACAAGCAATGTCAGTCCAGTATGTCCTGCTTTGAAGTAAGTCCCAGTCTAACCTACGAAACATCATTTTGATTAATGCTTCTTTTGTCCATCTATGTGAAGAACAGTAGAACTTTTATATGCCTCTGAATATAAATAGGAGCTGCATCGTATGGGCCAATAGACCTTCTGCAGTTACCTTCATTCTTATGTTTTTAGAGAATGAATAGAATTAGAAATACAAATGTTAGATCAGCATTTATAATATAGGAATCATTTAGAGAGCTGCTGGTGTAGAAACGAAACTATTAATATAATGCCTTTTCATTCATGAAAATTGCAAATGGTGTCATGATTATGAGTAGCTATGGTTCACTTGAATTAAGTCAATCAGTATAGATAATTCTGGTCAAACCCAGTACTGTTTAATATATTTTGATAAAGCTTTTTATATTATATAATTTATGATATTATAATATTATTATTATTATAATATTTATGATATTTTAATAATTGATATTATATATCTATAAATAAATAAATAATAAATAAATAATTATAAAAATAAATCTTCCTATACTCCCTCACCCAGGCATATACAGTACTGTAATTAGATTCAGGGTAAAGCTAGAGCAAACTCATTTAAAATTGTATCTTCCAGTTTCACCTCTACTAGTGAGGCAATATCTGGTATTTGAAGTTGCATTATATCATTTAACTCTAATTTTTTTACCTCACCCCAACTATGTTAGTTTACAGAATTTTCAGGAACATGTTCCCCCCCCCCCCCCCCCTTCCTTTGCCCTTCACTCTCCTTCCCTCTATTGATTTTGGTTTGGTTTGTTCTTTTATACCATTTCACAGGCTTTCCTGATCCCTATCACCTTGTGGAAAAAAAAATATCTTGGTATGAATCTCTTGTTCTTGAAGTTGCAGGTTTCAAGAATTCCTCTTTGTCAATTTTGTCGATTTCTTTTGCTATTTTGTATAGTGATTATATCACCTTTCTTTTTCTATCTTCTAGTTTTACCATACTGTATATAATACCTCTAGCCTCTCCTCCTAGCTCTTGTTTTCAGTTTTGAAAAGTCATTTAGTATTATGTCTGCACCGTTTTCATTTTATTGACATACTTCTTGAGATATGGGCAATTTACTACTGCTGCTTATTACAATTTTGGTCTCAAAAATGTCATGAACAGTTTCTTTAATATTTCACCATCTAAGTATTTAAAGCAATTCTGAAGTTGGAATGCATAGCATAGGCTCATTGCCTATGAGTATCGACTTGATAATGGTCCAGGATGAACTGAAATGTCGTTGTCTCCTCATCTTCTGGTGTGGGGTTAAGTCTTCATGTGCTCTGTATTCCTTTGATGCCCGAAACGCTTTGCATAATAGTGGCTTTAGGCATTGTATGTACTAGCCCTATCTATAAATCCATCACTCTTTGTAAAATCTCTTGTATGTATGTACCTTACCTAAATAAACATTTGATTTGATTTGATTTGATTATGTGGTCCTCTGCTGACTGTTTACTATCTATAACCACCATTAGATCTCTTTCTTTGTCAGGATTCTATAATGCCTTGTAAGTTGTGTATGGCCTATTTTTTTCTTATTCCAGATTCTATAATGTGGCATTTATTCACATTGAATTTAATTTGCCAAGTAGTGCTCCATACACTTATTTGTACCAGTATTAAAATAATGTGTGTGCATGAACAAGTCCATGTAGAATGAATTGGTGTAAAGTGAGGGATAGGTGTAATTTGTGTATTTCATTACTAAGTAACATGTCACAAATAAGAACTATGTTAAAACTCAAAGTAAAGAAAATAGATCCAAAGCACTTTTGATGGAGCATCTATTTTCTTTGTGAATTGTGCTACATACTTGGAATTTTGTTTTTTTGTTTTTATACTTCTCAGGTCAAGTGATACCCCACCTAATATAGGAAGTGCTCCACCTAGGCCACCTACAGTTGGTCCACCACCAGTTCCACTACCTCTTAAGAATCATAATAGTACAGCTAAGACTCTTGTAAATAATGTTACAACAGAAGCAGACATTGACCATAATCCCAAGGAAATCCTAGAGGAAGTGGAATTATCACTCAACAATTCACTCCAGAGTATCGATATTGAAATTAAGGTAAGGCTTGTTAAAAATGTATTGTTACAGCAGTATATGGGTTTGGTATATATAAGATTGATGTGTCACATTTAACAGTACTGTACTTAGATATAATATCTGATTTGATGAACAACAATATGACTGGTCATCCACCAGGCTAGCAAGATATTTTTTTAATTTGTTTCATTCTGCAGCATTTGTAATTTTCATGAACATTGACAGCATAATATTCGGGATGAGATCAGCAAACGTATTCATACGATGAAAACAATGTGGCTTGATGGAAAACTCAATGAAGCAGTTCAGAAGCGAATGTTGTCCCTTGCTAAAGGTAAGACTTATCAATAAGTGAGGAGACAAATGACCATAACAGATCTTGCAGTAGGCAGTAGTGCCCTGGTTAAAACTTTCCACCTGTTCAAACTTGAACTTTCAAGCAAGTATTCTTTTATAAAAAAAAACAGTAGTTTTAACACATACTATTTATTCTTGATATACTTTTGTATTCACTTAAATAGCACCTAAAATGCACTATTGTGAACCTTTGCAGATATGCACAAGATTTTTTCTTTGTATCGACAATTAAAAAGATCTGGCTTTGAATGGACCAGAGAAACTATTTAACTAAAAAATTATAGTACATTATAGACCATATCTTTCCAGATCTGTAGATATAGACCATATCTTTCCATACTGTACCAAATTTACTGTACAACACTTAAAACACTTACAAAGGCATTAATGCAAACTGCAACCTGAGAGTTAACGACCCCTCCAGTGACACTTACAAAGATCCAAGCGGTGCTGGTGCCACCGTGTTGACCCACATGACTGTGCTTGATTCTATCACGTGATACACTGGCTCTTTACCTTAGTGAGCAAGCAAACTATTCTGCTAAGAAAGGGGGCTTTTCATGTTAAAGCATATTTATTTACAGTATTTATTTGATATGTTGACAGCAGTTTGTAAATTGCAATGAATTTGGAACATGCTTTTTCTTTCAGCTCTCGATCACCAGGAATATGAAACCGCATGGACTTTGCATCTGGGTCTCATTGTAGATTACACAAGTCTTTGTTCTCCATGGATGGTTGGTGTCAAGACACTAATAGCCGAATGCCGCAATCGGTCAAAATGTAGAGCAAACGATTTGCCAGGTAGCGCAGTGCAAGTTCTAGATACAACTGGAGAGGGCGAGGAAAATAAAGCTGTAGCAGTTATAAGTTCTGTTATGGCTGTTGGAGATATCTCGTTAAGCAAGACAGAAGGCAGTGCATTGAGTGAGGGTGATGATAATACAGGTATTTGTAACATTGTTTCTGGCTCTATCAACAGTACTCGGGAAACCGAAAAAGAAATCGACAGTGGCACATTAGAATAGATCTTAAAAGCTTTTACATTTGTACTTTTAATACAATATACTGTATATGTTTCTAATAAAATTTGGTTTGTTTAGTTTTTGTTTTGTAGGCTTTCTTGAGGAGCCTCTTGGTGGCTCCTTGAAGCTATCCTACTAAGATAGCATCCTACTCCTACTAAGTCACATCAAGCATAGGAGTCCTGTTTGGCCTACTGGAAACCAGAGACAGAACCAGGCCATCCCTCACAGAGGCACGGGCAGCTGGGGATGCTTAGAATCACCCACACCAAGATAGCATTCCAAAAAGTACGCAAGGCAATGCAAACAACTGCAAGGTTCACATAAACCGAAGCACCGAAACAGCCAAATGAACTTTCATATGATTCACTCAATTCCAAACAATTCATTCAAACTAGCTGAAACCCTCTAGTGCGAAAGGCCATCAACAAGTGGCACCCTGGGAGTCCCAGGCTTCCATGCTAGCAATGAGTCAGTCCTATCACTGATGTCTTGAGCAATCAAACCTTTCCAAGTCACTGGCCATAGCAATTCCCACTTCTTTTCAAGATAATTGTAGGCCACACCTTGAACTTTGTCCTGTGTGGGCCATTTGCTTGTGTGTCATTCCTAGTCTTTAGTATTTGCTTCAAGCATGTCTGTTTACAATTCACCCTTGTTACATGGACTTGGTCTAATATTCACTATGAGCTGCATGTATGTAGGGCAGTCCTTTCCTAAACTCATTTAGCATAGCCCCTGCACGGACAATGTGACTTTTTAGGCATGTTAGGGAGTTCACCCCTAAAAACCCGGACCACTGGGATAAAGAGCCTTGCTATAGGTAATGCAGGAGTCATTGACTCCTCTGTGGGACCCTGCAGTTGGGGGCATTTGGTTTTTGTTTCTGGTGCACTAAAGGTTTGCATGCTTGTTCATATAGCATGTCACGGAAGTTCTTTATTGCCATGTTTATCCTATAGACTGCATTCTGTGTCAGTTCTTCTGGCAAGCATTCCTAATGCCTGGGTGTCCAGCTTGGTCACATTCCTTCAAGCCACAGTAACTTCCCTGCAGTCTGCGGTGCAGCTCATATTGGACTGACTTAATGAACCTGCACTTGCTATTTACAAGTTTGAGGGTTGGCCAACAGCTTTGTTATAAACCGATGGTCAATTCTTCTGTCTCCTGCTGCCTGTTGGGTGGGTATTACTCTGAGGCCTGCAACATTGGGGTTCACAGGTTCATTTTTTTGTTCAAGCCTATAATTTAGGTTTTTGTTTCTTTGCTTCTGTAGTGACAATGCTTTACTGGTAGCTGCCACTTTGGGTTTTTGCACATGTATGCCGCTTCATGCTTGGGTAGTTGCTCCAGAGTCGGCACATTTTGTTTTGGAAATTTTGGGGATGATTTTTCCATTTTCTCTGTTGCTAGGCACCTTCAGGTAGCCATTAAGAGGAGGCTCAAGGAAACCATATATGAATGTAAGAAAATGTTTCTTTCTGGTAGAGCATTCGTGGATCCCTGATTCCCTGTCCCCCTACCAGGGGAATTGGTTTGTGATTTCTTGGTTCTGGACTGGCTCATTGCTGACATGGGAGCCAGGAGCTTCCTAGGTGCCACCTGTTGGCGGTGTTTTGCACTAGGCGGTTGAAGCTTGTTCGAGTAAATTATTTGAAATTGAGTGAATCATTTGTGACTGAGTGTTTTGATGCTTTGTTTCATGTGAATTGTGTACAGTATTTGTTTGTATTGCCTTGCTTATTTTCTGGATGCTTTTCAGTGTGGGTGATCATAACAATCCCAGCTCCCTCTTGTCTGTGAGTGAGCCAGGTTCTGACTATGGTCTCCAGTAGGCCAAATAGGACTCTTATGACTGATGTGACAATAATGAGAAGCCATCTTATTGAGATGGCTTCACTGAGGCACCGAGGCTCTATCGGAAAGAGGCATTTCATTACATTCAAAGCCAGTTTTTTAAGGAGTGAAAAAATAGTACAGTAATGTATATTTTTTTTCAATATCCTGACTATTTTAAAAAATGTACACTTGTACGTCTGATTAAAAGGAAATCAATGATTTTGACACCAGTAGATGAGGTAGATATTGCTAAGTAATCTTCCAAGTTCACATGATTATTGATTGGGCTACATTATCAAACATTGGTTAGTTTCATGGAAATTGTGTGTCAAACGATGGAGAAATAATTTACAGAAGCCAAGAAAACCCTAAAACATAATTAGAAGTGTATTACTATTTACATAAAATTAAATACAAACAGATTATTAACACTTAATAAGTTTGTTATATAATGACAAATGACAATGATCTGAAAGCGCACTCATTATAATGTCTGAAGAGTGTGTCATGCAGGTGAAGTTCCTGCTAAGGTGACATCACTAATTGTTGTCGCGTGAGGTTCCTACTAAACCCTGGACATCAGTGATGTCTTGTGATTTTCCTGCTATGCCCTGGACAAGCATTGAGTTAGCAGCATCACTAAGCATGGTATATCACTGCTAAAAAAAAAAAAATTCAATCCGGAGCCGTAGTGCAGAATCTGCTCTGTCTAATGATCTGCGAGTCACTGAAACACTCGCCCCCCCCCCCCTCCTCGTGTGAGCCTTGGATGGTTTGAGTTTTACCAGTGAGCATGTGAGTTGCCAATATTTATAATTATAGAAAATAGGGCACGTACATCATAAAGACGTATGATTTTCACCAAAGTGTTGCCACATTCCTCGAATGTTAAGAATGCTTTATTGTATCTCGAGTTTTTAAGATAATTTTCACCAATTTCAGTGCTTTGGGCCCCTTAATTATTTAAGGTACCTATTATTCTTCACTTAAAATGGATTAGGATAAGGTTATCTCAATAGAGAATTTGCTAAATACTGAATTGTAGATGGTTTTTAATCCATGAGCTAGCTAAACTATTCTTTGTTGTTTTGCATGTTTGTAATAGCAGTCCCACCTTGCACCATTTCTGCGTGATATGGTGGTATTATAATTTTTTTTAACCTCTCGGTATTACCTTATTTTTGGTCATACACATTTTCTTTGGCCATTTAACTTGGTACACTGTTCTGTCAATTAATTGTAGGAATCTCAAAAGGAGTTTATTTTATGATAATTATTACCCTGTTTACTCCTAAAATTGTGTGGGAATGGATCAGTTTGAAGAAGAAAAGGGAAGCATTATAGGTAAAAAGTTTATTAAAAAAGAGAATTCTTCATTATATCATACACTGTGTAGCATCACGAAGCATCAAGCCTCTCGTCTCATCCACTAGAGCATTTACGATATATGGGGGACCATCGATAAGCCGCCAGCGTCCTGTCCTCATCGAGGCCACTACGGTAAGTGGCCCTTAGGTAAATCATGTAAATTGGGTAAATTTAGTATATGCTTTAAACTATGGCTGTCCTGCATATGTCGGCTTTGCCCTTGACCCTTTGTTATTTTAATGTTTTGCATCATACTGAGTTGCACTTCATTGCTGGTACCTTTCATTCATCCCTTCAAGTTCAAATACGTTTATTGAGACAATAAGATACATCTCAAAAGGATATAGTAGTTTAGGCTATTTCTGCCCTTCTATTCATTCCTTATTCAGAGTTTATATATTGAAACCAGCCTTCCATTTCTGCAGAATTATCATGATCGGTACTCCCTTTGGTACCTCGGATGGTCCCTTAAATGCCCCTTCCTGCTTGTTCTGTAATTTGACTACTTTCCTTTGGTAGGCCTTGCTGCCTTTGGTAGGCCATATAGATTCTATCTATATATGAGATAGATATATATAGATAGAATCTATGTCTCTGAGATAGATATATCTATCTCAGATATATACAGATAGAATATATATGTCTCTGAGATACATACACCTATCTCGGATATATTTAGATAGAATCTATATTGCTCTGAGATAGGTCTTTGTCTCCGAGACACATGTATCTTTCTCAGATACGCCTAGATAGAGTCTGTAGGTCTCTGAAACGGATGTGTCCAGCTCGGGTACGCCAAGATAGTCTGTGGGTCTCCGAGACGGATGTGTCCAGCTCGGGTACGCCTAGATAGGGTCTGTAGGTCTCCCAGACGGATGTGTCCAGCTCGGATACACCTAGATAGGGTCTGTAGGTCTACCAGACGGATGTGTCCAGCTCAGATATGCCTAGATAGGGTCTGTGGGTCTCCGAGACGGATGTGTCGCGCTCCCGTACGCCTAAATAGGGTCTGTCGGTCTCCGAGACGGATGTATCCAGCTCGGGTATGCCTAGATAGGGTCTGTGGGTCTCCGAGACAGATGTGTCCAGCTCGGGTATGCCTAGATAGGGTCTGTGGGTCTCCGAGACAGATGTGTCCAGGGGTCTGTGGGTCTCCAAGATGGATGTGTCCAGCTCGGGTACGCCTAGATAGGGTCTGTGGGTCTCCGAGATGGATGTGTCCAGCTTGGGTACGCCCAGATATGGTCTGTAGGTCTCCCAGACGGATGTATCCAGCCCAGATGCGCCCAGATAGGATCTGAAGGTCCCATAGATGGACGTATCTAGCTCAAATGCGCCCAGATAGGGTCTGTAGGTCTCCCAGACAGATGTATCCAGCTCATATGCACCCAGATAGGGTCTGTAGGTCTCCGAGACGGATGTATCCAGCTCAGATGCGCCCAGATAGGGTCTGTGGGTCTCCTAGACGGATGTGTCTAGCTGAGATAGGCCCAGATAGGGTCTGTAGGTCCCCCAGACAGATGTATCCAGACCAAAACGCCCAGATAGGGTCTGTAGGTCCCCAAAAGACGGATGTATCCAGCTCAGATGCGCCCAGATAGGGTCTGTAGGTCCCTCAGATGGATGTATCCAGCTCAGATACGCCCAGATAGGGTCTGTAGGTTTCCTAGACGGATGTATACAACTCAGATACACCCTGATAGGGTCTGTAGGTTTCCTAGACGTATGTATCCAGCTCAGATACGCCCAGATAGGGTCTGTAGGTCTCCTAGACGGATGTATCTAGCTCAGATACGCCCAGATAGGGTCAGTAGGTCTCCCAGACGGATGTATCTAGCCCAGATATGCCCAGATAGGGTCTGTAGGTCTCCCAGGCGGATGTATCTAGCCCAGATATGCCCAGATAGGGTCTGTAGGTCTCCCAGACGGATGTGTCTAGCTCAGATAGGGTCTGTAGGTCCCCCAGACGGACGTATCCAGCTCAGATACGCCCAGATAGGGTCTGTAGGTCTCCTAGACGGATGTATCCAGCTCAGATACGCCCAGATAGGGTCTGTAGGTATCCCAGACGGATGTATCTAGCCCAGATATACCCAGATAGGGTCTGTAGGTCTCCCAGACGGATGTATCTAGCCCAGATATGCCCGGATAGGGTCTGTAGGTTTCCTAGACAGATGTATCCAACTCAGATACGCCCTGATAGGGTCTGTAGGTTTCCCAGACGGATGTATCCAACTCAGATAGGCACAGATAGGGTCTGTAGGTCCCCCAGACAGATGTATCCAGCTCAGATGCGCCCAGATAGGGTCTGTAGGTCCCTCAGACGGATGTATCCAGCTCAGATACGCCCAGATAGGGTCTGTAGGTCTCCTAGACGGATGTATCCAGCTCAGATACGCCCAGATAGGGTCTGTAGGTCTCCCAGACGGATGTATCTAGCCCAGATATGTCCAGATAGGGTCTGTAGGTCTCCCAGACGGATGTATCTAGCCCAGATATGCCCAGATAGGGTCTGTAGGTCTCCCAGACGGATGTGTCTAGCTCAGATAGGCCCAGATAGGGTCTGTAGGTCCCCCAGACGGATGTATCCAACTCAGATACACCCAGATAGGGTTTGTAGGTCCCCCAGACGGATGTATCCAGCTCAGATACGCCCAGATAGGGTCTGTAGGTCTCCGGGACGGATGTATCCAGCTCAGATACGCCCAGATAGGGTCTGTAGGTATCCCAGACGGATGTATCTAGCCCAGATATACCCAGATAGGGTCTGTAGGTCTCCCAGACAGATGTATCCAGCTTAGATGCGCCCAGATAGGGTCTATAGGTCCCCCAGACGGATGTATCCAGCTCAGATGCGCCCAGATAGGGTCTGAAGGTCCCCCAGATAGATGTATCCAGCTCAGATACGCCCAGATAGGGTCTGTCGGTCTCCCAGACAGATGTATCCAGCCTAGATGCGCCCAGATAAGGTCTGAAGGTCCCCTAGACAGATGTATCCAGCTCAAATGCGCCCAGATAGGGTCTGTAGGTCTCCCAAACGGATGTGTCTAGCTCAGATAGGCCCAGATAGGGTCTGTAGGTTCCCCAGACAGATGTGTCTAGCTCAGATACACCCAGATAGGGTTTGTAGGTCCCCCAGACGGATGTATCTAGCCCAGATATGCCCAGATAGGGTCTGTAGGTTTCCTAGATAGATGTATCCAACTCACATACACCCAGATAGGGTCTGTAGGTCCCCCAGACGGATGTATCCAACTCAGATACACCCAGATAGGGTTTGTAGGTCCCCCAGACGGATGTATCTAGCCCAGATATGCCCAGATAGGGTCTGTAGGTTTCCTAGACGGATGTATCCAACTCAGATATGCTCTGATAGGGTCTGTAGGTTTCCTAGACGGATGTGTCTAGCCCAGATATGCCCAGATAGGGTCTGTAGGTCTCCCAGACGGATGTATCTAGCCCAGATATGCCCAGATAGGGTCTGTAGGTCTCCCAGACGGATGTATCTAGCCCAGATATGCCCAGATAGGGTCTGTAGGTCTCCCAGACGGATGTGTCTAGCTCAGATAGGCCCAGATAGGGTCTGTAGGACCCCCAGACGGATGTATCCAACTCAGATGCGCCCAGATAGGGTCTGTAGGTCTCCCAGACGGATGTATCCAGGTCAGATGCGCCCAGATAGGGTCTGAAGGTCCCCCAGACAGATGTATCCAGCTCAGATACGCCCAGATAGGGTCTGTAGGTCTCCCAGACAGATGTATCCAGCTCAGATGCGCCCAG